TTAAATATAGGTTTAGATGCTTTGATCAACAACGCGGGCGTTTGTGTGATGGGAGAGTTTGATTGGTTGTCGTGGGATCAGATCCAGAGGCAGATTGACATCAATTTATTGGGAACTATGCGAGTGATCAAAACACTGTTGCCATTAATTATCCAAAGCAAAGGTAATTTACACTTATGCACAATGAATACATGTCTCTATGATTACCATAAATAATATGTTTTGAAGCGCAAAGAATTTTTATGAAAACTCTTTTACCACATCCTATCGCAGAGTTTGTGCCAATAAATACTACAATACATGAGTTAATATTATTAACTTAATAATAAATATGAGATAATAAATAATAAAAATGTATATAAATTGTGTATAAAAAGTTTTGTTTGATATAAAATTTAAATTAATTTTGTCAATGATACAAAAGTAATCTCAAAAACACTTTTAGTTTTCAGGCTATTGTTTAGACATTAATTTAGAAACAATTTTTGGGTCACAAATAATTTATTGTTTGAAATGTAAAGTAAATCCTTTTGTCGATAGCAATGGGAGCATAAAATAGAGCGAATAAACACTGAAAGCTAACCATAATTTAAAAATCCATTCACTATTCAATGGTCACTACTATTGAAAACCAATGCTATGTTTATTTGCGTTAAAATTTACACAATTTATTGTCGTTCAAAGTTTTCAGTGAATTTTTTGTTCTCAAATCAATAAACAGTGAAAACCGATTCAATACATCACTCTCTCCTCTAAATAGCCTTGAAATTTAAGACTCAAATAACAGACAAATAAATAATTACTTTCACATCTGATGCCAAATAACTGTTGGAAACAAAAACTAATTTATGGCTACATTTTTGCTGTCATTTTAAATCAGACAAAAATTTTAATACCAAAATTGATTGCCATTTATAGGTAGAGTAATAAACGTGAGTTCAGTGAATGGGAACTGTGCCTATCCGGGCATTAGTGTCTATTGTGCCACGAAGTACGCCATCGAAGGCCTGTCCGACGCGTTGCGGTTAGAGTTGTGCAAATTTGGTGTGAAAGTGATCGTGGTCAGACCAGGAGACTATGCTAAGCTCACGAATCTCATGGCCGGCCATTCGGCAAACGCCGACCAAATGTGGCGTTTAATGGACGACCAGAAGCGTCAACTCTACGGTCAATACTTTCACGACTATCACCAAAGCGTTGAGCTTAATAGCGGTCTAACGAGTCCCGTGTCGTATACGGCGTCCACTTTGTGTCAAGACTTTGAGGAAGCGGTTCTGGCGGTGGACCCGCGCCCGTACATCACCAGCGCGTCACTACTGTTTCGTGTGTTCTTCATCCTAATGTATTTCACACCAATCGCTTTCAAGGATAGACTGTTTGCGTGTATTGTCTCTAAAATGGTTAAAAGCAAACTCCAAAAGTGATCCCAAAACGTATCAAACTATAGTCGCGCCCGAAATACAAATAAAACTGATTTACTTTGTGTTCAATAATAAACAATGAGCTAATTATTCGTGGTTTTCATAAATTGTGCACAAATTTCACATTTAAGTGAAAGTTATTTATTTTTTCTACATTTCTATATTTATTGCGAATACGTTTTGAAAGTTAACTATTTTTGCCCTCAAATGTTATTTTCCAATGAAACTCTCGAAAGTGTTGATTACATATACTGTTAATAATACCGTAATATAATTTGTATGTAATTTTAGTGAAACTTTACTCTCAATAATAATTGAAATGTGATTTTAATTACACCATTAAATCTCTGGTTTTAGTTTATTTTTTCTCAGCGTTTCAGTTGAAAAACAGATATTAATATTAATTATATTTTTACTCATTTCTGTCAGACATTAAAATTTAATAAATATTTGAATTGAAAACTCTATAATTAAATGTTTAGATTGCGATAAAAATTGGATATAAAGTAAAACAATAACTTTCTAGCAATGATTCTCGTGAATAAAGAGAGTCATTGAAAACTTATGACAACTTTTTTTTCAAATCACATTTTGGATTAAATCATTTAACGACAAAATAATAATAAAAGTTTTCATTTATTAATAATAAATATTTCGTTTAATTTATTGTTTTTGTGGATAATATCTGTGACAACAACTCCGAGTGTGGAATCAATATTAATAATAAAATTTTGTGATTACTTGTAGTGTTTGCTTATATAATGTCATTAAAAGTGTACTTGTTTTCAGCATTTGTCACATTTGGTAAATATATTTTGCTGACTATTAATACAGTATTTTTCACAAAATTAATTCCCATATTATATATATAATTAATTGTAATAAATTTTACGCGTTTTGTGAGTCTATCTTTCATTTTCTCTATCCCTCTAACTCTCCCATTCTCTCCTCAATTCTCTCTCTTTTGCTCTCTCATGCCATATACTGACTGTAATTCTCAAACAGTATTGCAGTAAAAATCTATTGAATATTTATCACAAATATTTTTATTGTTTTGTTTTATTGTTAGGATTTTGTATTCAATTGATTCAAACAAAAGACGTTAAGATGTCAGCGGATACAGTGGAAAGCGGTTCCTATGAGTTCGCTCTCATTTTGGACAAAATGTTGGCCACCGACTCGAAGAACCTGGTCTTCTCGCCCTTCTCACTGCTCACCGCAATGTCGATGACACTAATGGGCGCCCGAAACACGTGCGGCGATGAACTGTCACAAGTGCTGTTCGGCAAGAAGATCGACGGCAATCAGTACCCAGCGTTGGCCAAAGACTACCAGAGGCTCGTCGACAGTATCTTCAAATCCAATGCCCAAGTGTTGAGTTCTGCCAACTTCTTGTACGCACACAAACAGTACCCGATTCTCAAGGAATACCAACATCTAATCGAGCAGTCGTTTGGCGCTAAATCACGTGAAGTGGACTTTGAACAACACGGCAAAGAAGCTGTGGACACAATTAACGGTGACATCAATGCCGCCACTCGCGGCAAAATACGCAAACTCTTCGACGACATCGACCCGACAACCAAAATGGTTTTGGCGAACGCCCTTTATTTCAAAGGCCTCTGGAAGACGAAGTTCAAGAAAGAGAACACTAAGAGCCGGAAGTTTACCACAAGTAAGAAGAAGGAGATAGATGTGGACTTTATGCATCAGGTGCTTAAGGTTCCCTTTGGCTACAGCGATGAGCTTAAGGCCTCTGCCATTGAATTGTCATACGATAAGAGCAATGTTGTGCTCGTTATTGTGTTACCCGAAGCAACCACTTCTCTGCCCGAACTGAAGGCACATCTCAATGGCCAGACACTCGACCAGTTCCTCAAACAGTTGTCTCCGACCAAAATCGACATTTATTTGCCTAAATTCAAGTTAGACTCCACTTTGCCGTTGATTCCTATTCTATCGCAAATGGGAATCAAACAGATCTTTGACGCAAAAATGGCCAACTTTTCCGGTATTACTAACGATCCGATCGGTCTATACGTCGGCGAAGTCTTACAGAAGGCAGTCATCGAAGTGAATGAAGACGGAACAGAGGCCGCCGCAGCCACAGGTAATTCTCTCTCTCTCTCTCTCTCTCTCTCTCTCTCT